GTAAGCTTCCTGGGGGCAGAGACAGCTTCACTTTTGTCTTTTCATCCCTAGCACTTTATGTGTTACCTGGAACATGGTTATGTGCTTGCTGGTTGACTGATCTTGAATCTCTCAATGCCATAGTAACTACTTAAGACAGTAAATTGCAGAATAACTGCATACCTGCACTGGCAGAGTTTCCTTACAGAAAGTTGCCCATACCAATGACATCATAGTTCGGCTTCCCCCTCCCCCTGCACCTATTTTCTTTTGCACATGTATGTGCATCTAAACACACATCCATTCCTTCTATTCCTCTCTTGCAATATCCTGTTACCTGGCCTTGTCTTTCTTACATCAGGACCTCCTCCCAAATAGCACCCAGAGTGCCACCCCTGTGAAAATCAAAAGGCAAGCAACAGCTTGACCCAACCATTCTCTGGCCAAACCTGAAACTCTAGAACACCTCTTCTAACGACCTTCAAATGCACTTATCTCCTTGATATAGAGACAAGGCAAGAAATTTTTACTTATGTATTTTTATGCCTTTTGTCATTGCCTGAATCACACCTAATGCATCTCCCATACCTCCTCTGAATGGGTATGACCTTGGTTAAGTCACTTCTCTGAGCCTCAGTTTCCTCATCTCTAAAACAGACCACTCACTTCTTGTGAGGGAAATGGGCTACATAAATGTTGCATTATTATTAGAAGCTCAAATCCTGAGCAGAGAGAAAGTCTGTTTTATCTCCAGGATGGTACCAAGCATGATTTAGCAGTTTAATAAATTCTTCTTGATGACAATCACTTAGGATTTGATCTATCTCTGTGAAATTGGGACAAGCAAAGCACAGAATTTTTTGTATGTTCTGTAAATAAGTATGAAGTACCTTGTAAAAGCAATAATGATACACCATCCCAAAACAACTACATTCTCTGCTACTCGGTGGGGATCCATGCCTTGAACTTGGAGGGAGCTTATGTGATGAAAATCCAATTGGGAGATTTGTGATAGGTTTTTGTCTAGAATACTCATCTTTGTCTGGCCAGAGCCCCCTGCTATTAACCTCTGAAGCCCAAAATTCAACTGGGTAGCAAAAGGAAGAGGAGGATTAAGTGTTGAGTCTAACAGCTCTGTGGTTTCCTTTTTAAAAAGGTATTTAAAAAGGTATATATAGTAACTGGCTTAAAAAATAATTTAATATTATGGGAAACTATTCCCAGTCAATCATACATCAAGATAGAAGTCATTTAAGATTTGTTGTTCAGTTGTTGTTTTCAGTTGTATCTGACTCTTTGTGATCCCATTTGGAGTTTTCTTGGCTAAGATACTAAAGTGGGTTACCATTTCCTTCTCTAGCTCCTTTTACATCAGATGAAGAAACTGAGGCAAACAGAGTTAAGTTTGGTCACATAGCTAGTAAGTATGAGGCCAGAGTTGAACTCAGGAAGATGAATGTTCCTGACTCCAGGCTTAGCACTCTATCTACTGTGCCACCTAGCTGCCCACATTTAAGATTAAGTTATGTTGTAAGATTTTGGGGGGAAAAGAGAAAGAGAGAGGAAGGAATCCCTCAAGTTTGGAGAATGTAATTCTACTTAGTCATTTCATTTAATCCCTTTTTGTCAACCGGAAAAGAAAATATTCTCTCAAAGGTAGAGAACTTAATGGCATTCCTTAAAATCACACAGGTGAACGAAACCTTTTAAGGTCATAATATCTGTGACATAAGACTCATTTTATGAGGGACACACGCTCTTGTACCCTAAATGTGCTACACTCTTATCTCTAGCAAAAAACTCGGGTCCCTTTAGAATGACTTATCAAAGTAATGTAATTTTGTCAGCCAACAGAGAAGTGTGACTAATAAATGTATTGGTTCCAGCTAAGTAAAATACAAGTAAAAATTTACTTGGTCTTAGAATTTCTATTACTTCGACTTACTAGTTCTGCCCAGAATAGTTGTGTAAAATTTGGATCATGGATTTAGAAAGAGACATTTGGGCTTGATCTACTTTCAATATGACCCTGGAGCAAGACATTTAACCTCTCTGGGGCTCAGTTTGGTCATCTGTAACATGAGGGGAAGTGGACTATTTGTCTTTCTAAGGTTATTTCCAGCTCTATGATCCTATGACTAATAAAATGATTTCATTTTAGCTTTACCTTGAAGAAGAAAATAATTTGTTTTGCCTCTTTACAACTCCGTTCAAGAAACAGCTGATGACAGTTTAAAAGTTTAGTTAATCAACACTCAAGTAACTGGCATTTTTCCAAAGGCAGAAGTCACAGGTGGTAGGGAAAGCCATTAGGGTCAAGAAGACTCCAAGTCCTTTTGTTCTATACTTAAAAGCTGAAGTCTTCAAATAAACAAAACCTTGAAAAGTCCCTTTGGAGACTTCATGTAAGCTAATAACGATAACAAACAATAAAGTTTCTATTATTACACCAGAGTTACTATTTCCAAAAGCTCTATGAAGCACACATTTAACCTACTGATTCATTCTGTTTTAAAAACAGCAACAGTAGCAGCAACATATATTTAGATACGAAAAGGGGGGAAAAAAAGGCAAAGCTACCAAGAATTTTTTATAGGAAATGTTTAAATTTCTCCTTTGGGGTTTGTATAGTTCTCAAATCTCATCTTTTTCTTATTCTCAACTGAGAAAAACAAAGTAAAAACACTTTCCTAATTTCCTGCTGCAGAAATTGAAGGTCAGTGGTTGACAATTTCATCTGTTAAATTTCATGGGAAAATAGTTTTATCTTTAGGGCTTTAAAGATAAAAATAATTTTTTCCAGGTTACATTTGTGAACTTACAGGCATAAAAGCATTTACTAGCAATGACTTTAATGCAAAAATCAGTCAAAAAATCCATATGCTTTGAGAATTTGGTGTCAAACTGAAATAGAAACGGGGACCACTAAGCTGTACAGAAGGAGCTCTGTGCTGCCTAATGACTTAGAACACCAAACACGTTTATACCCTTCTTTTTTTTTTTATTCTACATCAACACATTGAAATCAGATAGGAACAACATTTTTAATCTGGATCAGGGTGATGCTTCCAAACTATAGCATGACCATAACCTTCTGTGAATGACAACCTACTGAAGAATTGTGAGTACCAACACCATTCCATAGTCTATTTCTCCTTGGTCAAAGTAGGGTCTGAGTGCTTGCCTTGGCAATCTGCTCAGCAGGACAAGGTTTGAGAAGCAGTTTCTAATCATCTTTGGGTTGGTTTTTTTTTTTTCATAATAAGACTCATTACAATAGGCCTGAGTGACAAATACTGAGTTTTCATTCCTCAGGACTTACTGACACATAGGTGATATTCATGAATGTGGTTGTAAATTATGGGTGAGCTCACAGAACCTCAGAGATAAATCTAGATACTTCATTTTGGAGGTAAGGGAACTCCTAAGAGGTGAGCTGGTCTGCCCAAGATCATACTCCTAGCTACTAACCTAATTAGGACATGAATCTAGGTTTCCCAATTCTTAAGCCACCATTGTTCTTTAAACTATACCATGCTTCCACCCATGTTAAAGTGGCCAAAGAGTGCTCAAAGTGGCTTGCAAAAACCATTAAATATTCAATTAAGCAATTTCTATTATCTATGCTGCTGGAAGAAAAGATGGAGGGGGGGCTATAAGGTGAAAGATACAGGGTGTCCCAAAAGTCTTAGTGCAGCTTAAAGCTTTAGTAGGTGTGAAATTGCCCTGAGACTTTTGTGACATCCCATATATTTCTCACTGTCAATTAATAGTCACTTTGTTTTTTGGGTTATTTCCTTCTGCGCTTGGTTAGTCTATGTGGATTATCCAGAGCAAGAGGTCACTCCTGGGTGAAGTGAACAAAAAGTCTTTGAACATGCATTGGGTAAGGAGAACCAGATCATGGTGATCCCACAAATGTATAAAAGCCAAGCCTAAAATAGCCTGTTGGCCAACACTCATCTTACTGACAATTGACCAATGAGTATTTAAGAGACTCTGTCTTGGACTAGGTTCCAAGGATGTAATTTTTTAAGGAACAGGTTAGTGGTTCAGTGGTTAGAGCACTGGGTCTAGCATCAGAAAGACTCAAATCTGGCCTCAGATACTCACTAGCTGTGTGACTCTGGACAAGTCACTTAACCCTGTTTGCCTCCATTACCTCACCTGTAAAATAAGCTTGAGAAGGAAATGGCTAACCACTCCAGCATCTTTGCCAAGAAAACCCCAAATGGGATCACAAAGAGTCGAATACAACTGAAGAACAAAAATCAAAAATGACAAGTGAAAGGGGCCTTTCCCTCACAAAACTTACATTCCATCAGGAGAGACAATGTGTATACACAGAAATACATACAGAATAATAAACAAAGGTTAATTTGGGGGAAAGAGGCCCTAGGTGCAGGGAGGAGGAGGAAATCAAGAAAGACTTCATAGAAGAGGTGCCCTTTGAATTGAAACCAAGAATTCTAAAAGGTGGAAGTGAGGAGGTTAATGACATTCCAGGCACAGAGGGTAGCCCTGTGCATGGGAACATAGACAGGACACGGAAGATCCTGTGTGAGGAATGGCAAAGCGGATCATGTATCTGAAACACAGAATATGTGAAAATGAGTGACCTGCAATGAGCCTGATAACAAATAGACACCACTGGAGATATCTATATGGGCTTCACTCAGTCTTCTTCCTATGACCTTATTTACTCTACCGTAGCAGTCAATAAACTCATCTTCTTTTCCTGTAGCTGGTTATCTTCAGGTCTGCTGCCACTTAAATCATCACAGAATTTGAAGGGCTGAAAGAGACTTCAGCAACCATCTAGTCCAATTCATACCCAAAGAGCAATCCCCAAAACATGTTTAATGTCTAATCACGTTAGCATTCCACGTGACATCCAAAATCTACAGTCAAGGACGACAGTCAACACCAGAGGCTTTGAATCACAATGAATCAACTGCAAAAACTAGAAAACATATGCAGACAACGCCTATTTTTAGAGATTATGTCAGACAAACACTTACTGTTAAGTGCCATAATGTTATCTGTTCCTGGGTGATGGAAATTTATTCCCATGCGTCCTAAAAATAAATAAATAAATAGATGTTGGTGAGCAGAAAGGAAAAAAAAAACCTAAATGTTCAACTTAATAGCCTCACAACTATTACAAGACAAGAACATATCCAAGGAGCTAAAACAGCAATAAAACAGATGGTTTTACATCTTAAATCTGTTAGAGGAAACAACCATTACAGAGGCTTTAAAAATAAAATCATAAAATATGCATATGCAAAATCTCAGAACCAGGACCCAATCCTAAGATTAAGCCAGAGGCTTCTGTCATAAAGCTCTGAGACTTTAGCAGACCTCAATTATGTATTAGTATACCAGAATTATAAAAGCAACTCTGGGTTAAGTTTTTATTCTACATTTAATCTCTCACCTTGACCTTTTGATTCAAGTAACAAAACAACACACATACACAAAGGTCATGTGGTTTCAAAAATAAAGGGAACTCCCTTCTCTATACAGATACAGAGATCTATTTAGTCCTCGTAACACTGTTAGAAAGTTGTTTGAGGCACTGAAAAGTTAAGAGAATTTCCATGGCCCAGGTCCTACTATGGTCAGTCCACCATCTTAGCCATACAGAGATATAGATAGCTTCAATCAATCATAGAATTTCAGAGCTGAAAGAGGCTAACCACTTCAATCCCCTTGATTTTATAGGGAGAGGAAGCTAAATCCCAAGGAAAGGGAGTGATTTGTTCAAGGTCACACAGCCAGTCAGTAGCCAAATAGGGCCTGGCTCTCAGCTTCTGTGATTCACAGTCTACTTACTGCTCTGTTCTACTATATAACCATGCTGATTCCTCCTATATTAAAGTACTCAGAACTGCTACATCGTCTTTGTTGGCAGCTTCCTAGAATGCTGGAACAATCACTTCTGGACTAATAAAATAGCAGAAGCCAGATACTTAGCTATTCTGCTTAAAAGATTCATAAAATATGTCTCCTGGAAATGGTGCTTTTAGCTTAAATCTCTGATTTTTACTCTTGGCTTTGCCAGGTGGTCTCCAATGACCCTAAGACTGGTCATAAAATTCTCAAAAGAGTATTTCATTCTTCCCATCAACCCCAAAGCCAAGCTCTTAGGTATTATCTCCCTCAGCAAGAGTGGGTTCTCCTTGACAGCAGTCTTGCTTTTTCTACTTAGATCCCCTGCCCTTGACACCATACTTGGCATACAGTAAGCATTTAATAAATGTTTTTTCATTTATTCATTTATTAGAAGGAAATTATACCACATAGCAATAGAAAGTGTGTTAACAATTACCAAAAGATTGGAGATCATTCATTTTAAAACCCCTTTGGGAACTTGAGAGAAGAACGAAGCAAAAGTACCCCAACCCTGCCCCCAGGAAATTTAGCATATGCCCTCTTACCCAAAAGAGAAAGACAGAGACAGAGAGACAGAGACAGAGTGAGAGAAAGAGACAGAGCGACGGAGAGATTATTAGTCTCAATTTAGAATTGCCATTTTCTGAAACAAGGTCATAGCAGTGGTGAAACATTATGCAATAGTTCAGCAATCCTGTTTAGAAGCAAACAAAGAAACCCCCCATGCATTCCAATAATCATTTAAATCAGTAAAAGCTTATTCCACATTATAGAAGCAAATACAGACATTTAGACCCTCTCTGCATCTTATTGGTAGGTTAAAAAAAAGAATTGCAAAGTGGCAATAATTTGTCAATTTCCTACTCAAGCCTCTGAGTAAGTTTTAAGTCACAACTAAAAGGTGGCAGTTTCTTTGTGCGGTAGGAAAGTCCCCATATTTTACAACAGACTAAAATACAGAGGGATTTGTTGTTTCTTTTATATTTAATACTTACAGTCTGCTTATAATCACCTAGTCCATTCAAAAATATTATGAATTAGATAGGAAAGGGACATAAATATCCAATTACCTTTTTCAATATGTAATGAAACTGAGACCCAGAGAAGAGAGTGACTTGTCTGGGGTCACAGAATGGGTTAGAGGTAGAATTAGAACCCAGGTCTCCAAATCCCACAAATGATTTTCAGAAAAGCATTAGAGGACTGGTAAGGGGAGACCAGGAAAATCAACAGTGTTTTTTACCCAACAATATTTAGGTTGTTCTACCTTCGATTCTGACTTAAATTCCACTGGAAGAAGCAAAAAATGAGACAGTACTGTTTAAATTACTGTTACTGAATCTCTAGGGGAGCATATAATAATGACTTGTCCATAAAATTTATATTTCTGAAGTACAGAGGAAAGCATTTTAAAAGATTTCCAATGCAAAAATGATAAGTATTGAAAATGAGATATTCCACATAAAATCCTAAGAAACAAGGATAAAACTCCCTAAACATACAGGCTCTTATTAAAGAATTATCATTTCCTTTTAGCAAACACTAATAGCAGTTCCAAATACCTTTTTAAAATCAGCATAATGCTGCAGAAGTAAGTACTTTTCAAAATGTTTATGCTCAATTCATATGCTTTACTTTTTCTCCATCAGTCTCATAAGTCATTTCAGTAGACTCCTAAAAGGGAGCCATGGACACCTAGAGCAGGAGTGGTCATGGCCCTGCTTCCCGATATATGAAAATGTATCATGGAGAGGAGTCTCATGGCCTTGCATGAATTTACACAAGTTTTCTGGGGATGAGGTAGAAACAGTTACACAAAATTTTCAATAATCCACATCAATGCTCCTCCCCCCAATCACTGGTTCAGATAATCAAGAGTTCATTTAGGTTTATTAAAGCCATGTTAACATAGGAAAAATGGAATGTCATTGGATTTAGAGCTGGAAGGGAACTTAGGTATCATTGAGTCCAACGCCTTCATTTTATAGATGAGGAAACTGAGGTCCAGAGAAGGTGTGACTTGCCCAAGATTACGCACTAGTTAAGGGTCAGTTCTGGGAAATGAACTCACCTCTTCTAACTGCTTTCAAGCACAGTTACAGCCTCCATGATTTACTCTAAACTAGCTAGCAGTACTACTTTGTAATTATTTCAATGCAAATTTGGCATGTGCAGAATCTCAGATTGTCAGAGCAGGTAGGGGGCTTCTAAGGGACTATCACATCCTAACTTCTCACTTTGCAGAAGAGGAAAACGAAATCCAAAATCTAGTCTAAGTGATGCAGTAAGTTAGCGGCAGAATCAGGCCTCCACACTAGGTCTCTACTCCTAGTCCACTGGTCTGCCCATTTCATCCTATTAGAAGTCACAATGAATCTTTCTCCACCAGCCACTGGGACTCAAAACCAATGTGTCAAAAGAACTTAAATCTCACAAGTTTAATCATAAATCAACAGCCTGGTTCCAACAGAAATAATGAGAGAGAGTCTATGGTAGACCTTGATTACTGCAGAAAAATTAAAGATATGCCCCAAGACAATGGTACATTGCTTTAATAGCCCTAGGGATTTACTGCCTCCAAATATCAAAAAACCTTTCTGGAAGCCAGCCTGTGCTACATATCAAGGTACTAAGTTCCACAAACGTACAAATTCTAATTTATTTTTGTTTGGTTTTGGTTTCGGTTTTTTGTGAGGCAATTGGGGTTAAGTGCCTTGCCCAGGGTCACACAGCTAGCAAGTGTCAAGTATCTTGTCTGAGACTGGATTTGAACTTAGAAATTCTAATGAAAAAAAAAAAACTTGCTTCTCTTATTTTCCTAGCTACCTCTCTTTGGGCTTCTGGTTCCAGTGTTTCTGGAATTTGCTCAACAAACCAACATCTGCTCTATTCTTTCTTTACAATGTTTGAAAGGTTGGTCACATCTCTCTCAGCTTCACCTTTCTCTACCAAAATGCCCTCAAAACTTTCATCTAACCTGACCCAGAAGAAGCTCTACCCTGTGTCCTTTTCAATGGTCCTTAAAATTTTCACCACCTTTGGCAGTGTCCTCCTTGAGATACAGCAACAGGAAGGAAAAGAGTCAGCAAGAGAACATTAGTCAGTGTTTTGTACAATGGTAAGGGTGTGTGTGAAGGCAGTAGCATTGTGAACTCTGCCTCCCATTTTGGGGTCAGAGCTGAGTGAACAGAATGTTAGAGCTATGAAGAAGTTATAAACCAGTGGCACAGTGGGAAGAGTGATAGCTTTGTAGGCAGAATACCTACGTTCTCATCCTGGCTCTGCTACTTGCTCTCTAGGCCTCTAGGCCTCAGTTTCCTCATTTGCAAATTGAGGAGAGGGAAGGGTTGGTCTATCTAGATCCAAGATGTCAAACATGGGCCCAAACCAGATGAAAATGTAGCTTCTATCTGATTTTAATGCATTGATACAGTCATTAAAAAAAAAAGATAGGAATATACAAACTCATGTGGTTTTCTAAGTTAATAAGTGGCCCACAGGGATACTTATGTATGATTTAGCAGCCTCCTCTTTCCACTTGAGTTTGATACCCCCGGTTTCTGACCAAACATCCCTTCTAACCCTAACTCTGCCATCCTGTGATGCTGGTTCTGACCTCCCAGGTTAGAGAGGTGAGGTACTGAAGCTCGCACAAGCTAACTGATGTAGCTAGTTCAGATCATAACCAAGACCAGAATCCAGATCTCCTGGACTCCTAGACTGGTGTGCTTTCAGCTATATCGCCACATTGTCTGTTAGCACAGAATCTATCATTTTCGTGAGTGTAGTTTGGAAATTTTTCCTCTTAAATATGCCCCAAAAGCTCTGTCCAAACCGTGTATCCTCCCATGGTCTTTAACAAAGCCAGTAATTCTGTTTCTAATTTCATTCCATTTTTAAGTTCTATAGTGATTAGAGATGTGCATGCTAATAGAAAATAAACCACACTAAAAAGATAACCTGAATCTAACTTTGAAATAAAAAAGCTTCCTCTCTTCCTGTCCTTCGTCCAACAAATACTGCTGTTTCATCAGCTGCAAAAATAGAATCAAGTGTGTGACATCTGGTGATTTTGGTTAACGCGGCCCGGTGTTGCTAGTGTGACATTTTGCCACCTGTCCTTGGTCTGCCATTTTTAAATTGTCCTGTCAGCTATCTCCTAAGCATAGCCTTCAACAGC